TTTTGATAATAAACAAAAAAGAAGATAAAATCCTTGAGAAAATGGTATACCAGATATTATACTAAAATGGTACAGTCTTTCTCTCTCTTTTTGTCTCCAGGGTGCCAATGGCTCGACTCTGGAAAGACTAGAGCAACTGCCAGAAGATGAGAGATATAATGGCCTCACTAATGTAACACATAATCTACACCAGATGCAATAACATTGATTGTGTGTTTCCACTCTAGTTTGGTAACACTTGCTATGCCAATTCAGTCCTACAGGCTCTTTATTTCTGTCTCCCGTTCCGAGAGAAGGTATTGCAGTATTCTCACGGAGAGGAAAAGACAGAGACGCTTCTTTCTGCTCTCTCTGATCTCTTCATTCAAATGAGTAGTTCTAAGAAGAAGTTTGGGGTCGTGGCCCCGCGTAAATTTATTCAAAGAGTGAAGAAGGAGAATGGTAATGGAAAGGGAGAGTATGGGGAACTACAAGAGAGAGAGAGGGAGAGAGTTGAAATTGTATTGTTGTACTTGTACCAATAGTACACACTATTAAACATTTTTTAACACCTTACTATGAGCTGGTTTAAAAAATTCATAACAAATCTAAATTTGATTGGAATTAGCTCAAACTTTTTACACAACATAAGTACATGTATATGTATCAGAAAAAATTACAAAAATTAAGAATTCTCTACTTTTCATTTTTGGTGAAATTTGGCTCGTGACCCTGTACTATAGTACAGGGACTTTTGTCCAATTTTGGAGCGACTTTAAAAATTTGTAAAAAAATTCAAATTTGATTGGAATGTGCTCAAACTTTCTATGCAATATAAAAACATGTACATGTATCAGAAAAATTATAAAAATCAAGAATTATCGAATTTCAATTTTTGGTGAAATTTGGCCTGTGACCCTGTACTATATAGTACAGGGACTTTTGTCCAATTTTGGAGCAACTTTAAAAATTTGTAAAAAAACTCAAATTTGATCAGAATGAGCTCAAACTTTCTACACAAGATAAATACATGTATATGTATCAGATAAATTATATAAATGGAGAATTCTTCATTTTTAATTTTTGGTGAAATTTGGCGTGACCCTGTACTATAGTACAGGGGCTTTTGTCCGATTTTGAAGCAACTTTAAAAATTTGTAAATATATGATTGGAATGAGCTCAAACTTTCTATGCAACATAAGTACATGTATACCATCTTTAAAAATTATTAAAATGAAGAATTCTCTTCTAGCCATTTTTTATGAATGACTTTGCCAGTAACTTAAAGTACATGTATGTAGTATTATGCGTATGTTTATAAAGATCTTTTGTTCCTTTTCATAGTTGTGTTTGATAATATGCAGCAACAAGATGCCCACGAGTTCTTGAACTATCTACTAAATACAATAGCAGATTTATTAAAAGGTACAATGTAGCACATACATGTACATGTACATGCA